CACTTAACTGATTTAACTATTTACACAACAAGAATAATAGGAAAGGTTATTTACAAGTGAACTTAAATGGCATAACCAGAATCACAAAACAAACCAGAATGCATTAGTCAACCCATGACTCAAGAACCACAGGTTGGTAAACTGGTAGCTTTCAGCCACTGCTGAGATGCTACTACAAGGAAGCAAGGTGCTCACTGCCAGCAGCTCCAACAGCTTCCCAATAAGCAACAGACTGCAACAGGTTAAGCTCTTCTGGTCTGCAACAATCAAATTGTAACAAACCCCACCCCCCCAAAGAGGCTAAAGGGCGACCCTCCATGGCAACCAAAAAGGCAAGCAACAAGCAACAGAGTAGGCTCCTGCAGCAATCCGCATGACTCAAGTACAAAGCTCAGGGACTCCATCCGATGTCAATCAGCTGCAGAATAAGGGACAGGACTGAGTCCCCTCTGGGACAGTCAGTGGCAGAGGGTCAGCAGCACAGGCAGCTCCCAGGGGGTCACTGCTCTAAACCCCTGACCCAGGTAACTGGCCCCACATGCCTCGCGGCTCACCAATCCCGCTCCAAGTGCCAGCCTGTGCCCTGAGCTCCTGGGGACCCTTGTCCTGGTGCTCTGCTGCTCCTCAGGATCACAATGCCTTGCCTGCTGCTGTCCCACTTCCCCAGGGAAGGTAAGGGGCTTCCTCAACTCACCAGCCCAGCTTCCTGCTCTGGATAAGGATGCCACCTGCGCTCCTGGCCGCTCCTTTTTCTCCGCAGTGGAGTGGGGGGCTGACTGCCACCCCTAGCCTCCGGGACGTCCAGCATGTCCAGCACACTGCAATGGGGCCTTGGGGCACCAGCTCTCTGCCCTAAGACCTGGCTGCTGCTCGCTCTCTGCTGCAGGGCTGGAGGCATGGCCACCTGCTGCTACATTCTTCTCCCAGGGCCTTCGAGGCTCTTTAGAGGGGTCTCTCTGCTCCCTCTGCTGGGCCAGCTCACCCCAGCTCTTCTTAGGCCTCCTGCATTGTTCCCTAGAGTCACTGTCAGCAGCCCCCACATGCCAGTTCGGCTGCTGCTTTTACCCCCTCAGGCTGTCCCTCCCTGGCTTACAAACCGGCCAACCAGGGCTCAGGGTGGCTGGCCCACAACCCCGGCCATCCCCCTTCCATGCGAATGAGGGATTGAAAACCCCTTCTTTTGACTGGCTTCTCCTTTTCCACAGGGCAGGGCTCCCCTGCTCCACCCTTGGGGTCACTCAGAGTTCATCGGCACTGTTTCTAAGCCAGGGTAAGTATCTCAAGCCAATCTGGTGAGCCCACGTTGGCAGTCTGTTACATATCAATAAAACATTGTGTTCAATTGACACGTGTGTATGTGCATGTGTTTATATATGTGTATATGTATGTAAGTATGTATCTATATCGTGATGTTTCATTTTAATCACAGATTTTGGAGTTTTTATCAGAGAATTTGTGATTTTTTTTTTAAATCGGAGAAATCCAGGATCCCTGCTTATCACAGTAGAAAAAAAGAGTAGTATTTTGGAAGCTGACTATTGTAGAGCAGAGTTTCCCAACCATCAGGCTGTGGCCCAGTACCAGGCTGTGAAGGGTTGGCTGCCAGTCCATGGCACAAGCCCCATGCTTGGACCCTGTCTGTCTGCCCACAGTCACATGCAGGGTTAAAGCTGGGTGGTGGGGCAGCCCCTGTCCCACTCCTGTGCTGGTCCGCATATAAAAAAGGTTGGGAACTACTGCTGTAGAGTGCAGATTGTGAGTAGGAAGTCCATGGGAAGTACTGTTTTGCTAAATATGTGCACAGCGATACATGGTGTCACCGAGTAATATGATCTCGGGAATGTGCCAGAGATTACTGCAGGATTTGAAGTTTGGATCCTCAAACTGCAGCATCTACAGATAATAGCAGTGGAGTAATTATGGCCCGGCCCCTGTCCCTTCCAACCCAGTGTAGCTTTGCGTCAGACTACTTTTCTGTCAAGAGTTGTAGATCATTTTGGCTGTTTCCTAGGCTTATGTAGGGTAGCCATAGTTCATGGTTCAAGAATTGAAATTTTTTTTCAATGTTTTGGATGTTTCTCAGCACCTGAACTGTTGCTTCCCTGAATAGACAATGATATGTTACTATCCTAAACTCAGATCTAAACTACTCTACCTTTTGGAAAGTTTAGCTCTTGGTTTGATGCAAATTTTACAGCTTAGACTCACTTTACCCTCAGATCACTTTTTTTTCAATAGGGCTGGTCTCCAAAAATTGGCAGCGATGATATTGCTAAATGGCTCCTAGCAACTTCTTTTGAACAATCAATAGTTTCATCTTTTCCTAACTTTAAAAGTAAAAGCAGAACTCAGGAGTTAAAAAACAGCAGCCAAACTTCTTAGATCTGAAAGAAAACCACTCCAGACTTCTTAAAAATTCAGTTTTATAATAGCCATAAAGGCCTCCATAGCAGTCCTTTAAAAGTCAGATAAGGACAAACTGCACCATCAACTTTGTCTTAGGCCCTTAACTACTCTAGTTGATCTTTATCTGACTGATAAATGGCTCTGACATTGGTTCTTATTGCTTCATTTTAAACCTTGCTCAGAGTTGTGGAAGGGGATGTGTAGCATACTTTTCTACTTAGCCCAGAACTTACCAAACAGAGGTGCAAAAGATAGTCCTGCCTTGATCTGATCATAGTTTATAGTTTCAAACAAACCTCCAGGAATGCCCTGGTCATGAGGCTCTAGTAGTGAAATCATTACACAGCAGCCTTAAATTCACAGGCCCATTAAGGAAGGTCTCCTGAATGACATTAGGCTGAACCCAGCCTCACTATTAGTGGGAACAATTGCAACTGCAGGGCACAGACAGAAGTGACAATTTTTGCCCAATCTGGTCATAGAAAGCAGTCTATAAGCATGACAAAACACAAGTGTATGGCTGCAGACAGCTTAAAAAATGGCCAATTGGGTGAAAATCTGAACCCTCATTGCATGAGGGATGAGATGAAGAAGTTTTAAAACAGAGCGTCTTCTGTAACTTCTGTCTGCACTGCCCATGTGTGCAGCTGCAAAATAAATTAATTCTTGGCCAAGTTGAAATAGCTGCCTTGTTATGTGGTTTGCACTCAGCTTGGTGGTTTGAGTGACCATTTCTCACTTTACGCTTGAGCTTTGCTTTTTGGGAGTTAAGAATCTGTTGTGTTCTGTTATAGCCATGTTCTTATACAACCTTTACTTCTGTTATATGTTATTGGGATTTGTAACTGTGAACATTCAGAAATGGGGAAGTACATTGTAATGTATTCTTTGTTTAAATGTAGCCTGTATCTTTACACAGCTACACAAATGCCAGAACTTTCTTTCTACACACCTGAAATCAATCCCTCAGCCCAGCTTTTTAAGCATGGAAATCAATCCCTCAGCCTAGCTTTAGGGATCAGGATCTGTTTTGTTGCAGAGGTTAGTAGTGCTTGCTCTAATGTTTCTTTAATGAGCTATTGTCAGCTTTGAATCTATAGGTACTGTGACTTGCAGTTAAAATGTCATTGTTCCTATGTTTTTGTAAAGGCATTACAAATCTTAAATATGTATTGTGGAAATAATAGCTGTAAGAAATTGGTTTTCTTGCCAAGCTAGTAGCTTTTTTTTTTTTTTATTGTGAGCTTGGTGACTGCTGGTGTTTTTTCTTAGCCCCTGTCCTGAAGCCTGATAATGCTTTGTCTTCATTTGCAAAAAAGCAAGGTTAGTACTGTAATAATGAGAAATTCTACATGTACCTTTAAAAAAAGTAAACATTTAAGTTATGGTTAGGACTCTAACCAGTAGTTAATGCATGAAGAAAATTCTGAAGGTACAGAAAAGGTGTATTTAGTTCAAAATTAAAATCTAGTAGCCATTTCAAACAAAGTTTTAAAGAAATAGTTTGCATTATTAAAAAAAGTTTTGTGCTAAAGGGTAATTTAGGAATATTTATGAAGAAGCTTTTCCCATTATGTGAAATAGTAGTTGCCTTTGTTAGGTATTGTGGTCATAGTTTAAATTGCGCTCAGCTGAATTGTGCAAAAGAGGTGTTGTGCTGAAGGAATTAAGTGTCCTTGTAATGTTTTCACATGGGCCTGTATTATGATGGAACCTGCGCTGATAAACTAGAAAAGATCATGGGCTAGGAATGTAACTCATGCCACTAAAAGAAGCATTACCGTTCTTCTGGGAGCCTAACCCCATGAGCCTGACAAGATATGTGATAACTGAGGTACATAAAATATAAGCTGATTGAAAACCTTAATTCCAGAATTTGAACTGAGCCCCACTTTAATGGTTGAAAACTTGAATTCCTCATTCCTTTCAGGCAAAGCTCTTTCCTAATTACTGTGGAATTGCAGACAGTGGTATTTCTGGCCTGACCAGCAAAAAAAAAAAAAACATACCCATTCCCTTGGGATTTTAGAACCAAGGGATCCACAACATGCACTGCCCTGTCAATCTGAAGCTTTATAAAAGATTTGGAAGCTGGGTATTGCTTGATTGGTATGGATCTGGCATAATGGCCATATCCAGATGTGTGTGGATGTTTGGTTTCCTGAGAACAACTAGCGGTGGTGCACCTTGTGCTGCTGCTAGTTGTCTCCTGGGAATGCCTGTGCCCTATGAGCTCTGGCACCTGGCAAGCTACCCCAGGTGGGGTAGGGGAATAAACTCCAGAGCTTATCACTCTACAGTTTATTGCTCCTGGGTGTGCCATTTGAACATGTGCCAAGGACCACAGCACAGTGTGTCAGAGCAGCCCTGGCTGGGAGGGGGCCCTAGAGGTCAGCCTGCCAGTCCTGGATTAAGGTGCTGTGGAGGGGCTGCAAAGGTGCTCCAGTGCAGGGCTAGCCAGCAGGGGTTATTTCTACACACGTGCTGCTGTAAGTAAAAAACAAAAAGAAAAAAACCCCCAACAAACCAACTCTGCAGCAGGATAGTGCTTGTATTTACAAGTACTATCCTGCTTTGGAGTTATTTAGTTTACTCTGGCTTAATAGGGGCACACGTGTAGATGCCAAGATGTTTACCGCGGAGCTAATTAGTCAACTCCACAGTAAATGTTTCATGTAGATACATCCACTGAGGTGGGAGGGGAGGGGGATGGCACATGGCTGGATGCTGAGCAGGGAGGTGGGGATGGCACGCTGGCAGGTAGGGACAGAACGCTGCCACCTCCCAGGAGGAGGAGTGGGGTGGGGAAGCTCACCAGGCTGGGGTGTGGCAGCGTGCTAGCTTACCTGCCCTGGCCCTGCTTCTGGAAGGTGGCAACGCTCCATCCCTGCCTGCCCTTGCATACCCCTTAGGACTAGTCCAAGTACCCCCAGGGGTATGCGTACCCCCAGTTGACAACCCCCGTCTTAAACACATTTATGTTTTTTATTGTAGTAAGATAGAATATTCAATGACAAAAAAAAATGTGTTTAAACATCACAACAAAGTTACTCTGAATAAAATTCACTTAAAAATAGATTAGTATAACAATGTGATGTACAGAGCTAAATGTCAGGATTATTTGTAATATGGCACTAATCCATGTATTAATGTTGCATTATCCTTTTGGACTGTCCTA